TTTAAGAAAATACTTTTATGAAAACCAAACTAAATTTTTTTTTACTAAAAAAATGATTTTTTTAAAAATAAATTACATCAAACATATTTTAGTATAATTTAAATTCAATTAAGTAAATTTTAATTTTTGTTAAACGGGTAGTGAGCAAAAGGCACAGTCACCTAAAACAAGGCGGGGCTGAAATATTTCATCGCACCAAGTCTAGCCCCACCAATTGTTTACTGGTGGTGACGTAATCAAGTTGAGAGCCAACCCGACTGAGCGAAACGCCTAGTCGCAACGGGACTAGATATACCACATCGACTGGTTAGAGAACACATGAAGTGTTTATATTGGGGAAGCTAAGATGTGAAGCTTGTCCCTTCGGGGACATCCGATAAAATTGGAACGATACAGAGAAGATTAGCATGGCCCCTGCGCAAGGATGACACGCACAAATCGAGAAATGGTCCAAATTTTTTTTCTAATCTCTGCTACTTTGCTCTCTCGCTGGCTTCCTTTCTCATCTTCTTTTTTAAATGTCAGGTGGGTGTGGAGACGGAAGTAACAGTGGCGAGAGGGTAGCCAAAGAAGAGAGCTTTCAAGAAGTTCAGTTCAGAGGCGTTGATTTAGGTGCTTTCCTTGACATGTCCACCGATGTACTTGTCAAGCTCTTTCCCGCCGGAGCGGGCTGCAGGTAATAAGATTTTGGGATTAGAAAATTCAGAAATTTTAGATGGGCTGTTAGTTCTCATGCTTTTATTCTTGTTATTTTTTATTTGTTTAGGGTTTTGGGTTTATTGCAACAACGGGTTTCAAAGAGGTGTGAAGAGGAAGCCAATGACATCGATCATGAAATTGCGTAAAGCTGTAAGGTAATTTCTTTTCTTCCATCTCTCTCTGTATTTGTTTATGACTTCATAAGATAGCAATTCACACTGTGCAATTTGGTATTGAGTAGTGTTATCATGTGTTCATTTCACATTATGGGATGTGTTTTCTTTTCTTTATCTCTTCACTCTGTCTCTTGTTTGTGTTTATCAAGTTTGCTCTGCAATTGCAATCATGGTGCTTGAAAAGTTATCGAAGAAGAAGCTCGAGTTTATAACAGAAGGGCTGGTTTATTCAATAGAAGTTAGAAACGATATGTATAGCTATTAATTGAATAGAGTTCTGATGACTGCCTCTGCGGTGTAACCATTCTGCGTGCTTGCTTCCATACCCTTCCATGCATGTATTCATGTATGTGCAGTGCAGGTCACTGAATTTTCATTTGGGACTTGTTTGTGAAAAATGCATCAAACTATGACCATTTATAAAACAGAGATTCTAAAGCTGGTTCCAAATCAAGTTGCCTTACAAGAATATTTTAAATTTCCGGTTCAACCCTCATGGTATGGTATATTTTGAGTATAGTCTGTGGTCTACTCTGTTTTTTGGTGGCTTGGAACAGAAAAGGGAGGCCCGGATGGGGAGAAGCCAGAGCCCTTGAGGACTCATCTTAGAAATATGATCATTGTGCCGGAGATGATTGGCCATTATCTTCCCGAGTTCCCAATTTCTTACAAGCCCGTTATGCATGGAAGACTGGTATTGGTGCAACACGCTCTTTCAGTTTCATTTCATTCCTCTCTAGTGAAATGGGGCACTTACTTTGGGTGGATGTGGATTTTTCTGCACCTTTTTTCTTTCTCTAGTTAGGTTTTTGATGAATTGTTCTTGTGAACTTGTTATGATTACATAAGCATATCCAGGGAAGCTATGCGATTGCATTAGAAATTATATTATTAGTGAAAGCTGTTTCAAATTACTCTTTTCAAACTCATATTTTAATCAAGTGTTTGGAAAACATGGTGATTTTAAAAGACTGGTCAGGACAATGGATAAACCCGAAATCAGAATTAGATGGATCAACCAAATCATGAGTTAACTTATCAAGTGATACAAATTTATCTGGATTAGGTTTTAAAACCGTTGGAAAAAAAAACCTTGCCGTGGCTGAACTTCGGACGACAGTCACCTTGGCTTGGATTGAGTTTAATAGCTATGGTGTGAACGTTTTGGCTGAAGGACATCAACCTAAAATTTCCTCTTATTATATCCAGCGAACCTGATTTTTCATCTTAATAAAACTTGGCTTATTGAACCTAAGAAAAGTGTAAATTGAACTAATCAAGGGCGGAAGCAAAGTTAATATCACTCGAAATCAAGTTTAAATTGGCTTTGTCCATCCCAAGAAATCGTCACTGGGAAACTCGAATTCCAATATTAAATAAAGGCAATAAAATGGTATACGGAGCACAACTGAACAATCTGTTGCTAAGGTGCCACCGGTGAGTTAGAAATGCTATCCTAAGGTTAGGGATTGATGATTACCATCCAGTCAAATCGCAGTACCATGGCCTCTTCAGTGTCTAGCAGTGTCTTTTTAACCCAATATAGGTGTAAAGGATGATGGTAGAATTGGAGAGTTGGTGGTCAGGTAAACATTTCTTGACGGCCAAAATGAGTGTGTGGTAAAGAGCCATACATTTTGTTCCCTAGGGCAAGGAAGTTCCGTTTCCATGATGATAATGGTGGTGACAGTTGCGGTGGTTGTTGTGGTTTATTTGATGATTGAAAAATATTATTTATTTATTACTGTTTGTTTCAAAAATATTTGCTGTAAAACAAACACCTCCGAGTTGCAAATAAGCTTTACGCACGGGGCCAAAATTGCCAGGGCATGGCATGATTTAAAGGAAAAGTTGCTGTCATTGCTCTAGGGCCTAGGCTATGATGGGTTGCTTTCTTTACTTTGGACTCCGTTTGAAAGCTGCCACTTTAGGACCTGCTGTGCCAAACATTCTTTCTGACAAAGATTTAGTGATGCTCCTTGTGACTTGTGTTTCTGGGCTGGTTTCCTTCAGCTGCTCGTATGAACTTAAGCGAGAAATAAAGAGCCCACTCAATTATGGTGCCCAAAGTGTGAATATGAAGATTCCACAAGTTATTTTACTTCTATTTCTCCTCCATTAGGAATTTGGCAGAGCAACAGGGATGGTATGCTGACCAGATTATAGGAGATGACATTCCCTAACTACTATGAATTCTTCTGCGTGCATCTGATAGGTTGCTCAACTTCTGTCGTGATGAATAAGCTTGAAGCAGCTCAGAGAGGTTTACACTTTGCTTGAGACCATAAGCTCCCCAAGTAGACATGAAAATGATGGCAGTCGGGGTTTGGATAAGCAGGCGACCTGTTTGAAGCTGTGCTTGATACCAGGAAATTAAGGAAAAGCTTTTAAATTGCCACACTGTTGTTAAACAGGTGAATAGGATCCCTGGTTTTCTCTTTATTTCACTGTAAAGTCAGGAGCAACTCTTCTTTTTATTTCTCTGTACATGTCAAGGGAATGCTTGTCACAGATAAAACAGCATGTATTAAGTTAATTACTTCATAAAAAGAGCCGAGAGACGCTGACATATGAAGATCACCATGCCAATAATATAAGCCAAAATTATACTCGCAAAGCATCCTGTCATGTTTTGCATAAAATTAATGGAAGAAAACCTGGCACGGAAACAAACTTAGATTTGCAAATGCAATGATCAAAATAAAACTTGGATTTTGAAGGAAGTACAGGTTTACAATTTGTGATCCCTATTCTATATAAGAGCAGTTCAAACCAGGCTAACCCTAAAGCTAAATACTTAAAAACCCTGTCAATGAATGACAATCTGTTCCATCATATCCCATCTCAGGTCTGAACAACATGTTATATACATTAGTAATTCACAAAGAAACTCCAAATGGTTCTGGTTGGATTTGAACTATTGGAAGTCGAGTTCTTGAAGTGAGATCAAATGAAGAGATCAGCTATGTTTCATGTATGCGCAGACTGCGATGAGATCAACCTAGAATGGTTATGGTCACCTTCATAGGTTACAATCAGCATTGACGGTTCTTCCAGGCATCTCTCAACGTGCTTCCTCGCTGGGCAACCTCTCAGACTGCTACATTTATAGTATCCCCTGCATTACAAATATTTTTGAATAAACCAGGTAAAACATGCTCATCTAAACTATTCAGACTTTAGCAGCAAACACTGACAATTTCTGATTGCTAACCAAGGCAAATGTAAGTGATGCAAAACATTCAAACTTTTTTAATAGCATAAACTACATGATACTTATTCTGCAATTAATCAGCTACCTAAAAGACAGCAATCTTTGGAATTTATTTATCGGCTGGTTTTTCCAGAGCACATAGTTGTGCCGGATAGCGTTGGCAAGTGAAAGTGAAAAAAATCCTCCGACTCGTCGGAAAGTAAATTGTCATCACATCAAAACAAAGGAAAACTAAGACAATCTAACATAATGATCAACCGCAGATCATAAAGCTAAACAAATAGGAGTATATTAGAGCGAAGCTTAAATCAGATATACCTAGGATGTGGAGAGCCCTTAATTGGCTTTTGTCCATACTTCCTCCATGAATACTCATCAGGAGGAATATCTGCCACCTTGTTGCTAATTGCAGGAACTTTAATGGATCTCTTCACCCTCAGTTTTCTAAAGAAAAAAGAAAGGTGATTACAATCAAAATCAACAAAAAAATCAATCATAGAATATAACATGGGGATTTTGATCTTACCTCCTCTTTGAGCAATGACATTTACCACCACTAGCACATTTCGCATTCCCATCTTCTCCTTTACCAGAACACTTCCTCCTTGTTTGTTGTGAGATGTGATCAGATGAGTGAGGCATGCCAATCAAATGGAATGAATCTCCATCAAAATTAGACACAGTACCATCCATGCTCAGAGATGAAAGGAATGATCTTGTGGACGACATGGTTGGTGTGCAAGTAGACCCATCAAACTTAAGGTTTATCCCACTATTACTCCTAGAATACACCCTATCAGCCTGATACTTCATTTGTTGCTGCTGTTGCTGAAAGTGCACCCTCTGTATCTGCTGATGTTGTTGGAGAAACTGAAAGTTTGGTGGTGGTTTTGTTTGTGCAATTTGTAGAGGAGGCCTGGTGTTTGAGTTCAATTCAAGTACTGGGTTTTCAAGAAACATTTTCTGGGCAATTTGCACAGGAAGTTTAGACTTAGCATCCATGTCACCAAGTGGGATTTCGAGAAAATTTGGAGGCACCATCTGGAGAGGTTTTGGTGCTAAAATTGTTTTGCAATTAGGACTATCTAGGAAGATGTTTTGAGGCAAAGATGATCTAAACTTCTTCAACTTCCTTACTCTTCCATGACCTAAACCAGTGCTCAAAAGAGATATAACTCTCTTGAACTTAAACACAGTCTCTCCAGCTTCCACCATTAAGTTCCTACCCTGAACTTGATCCTTTGGCTGACACAAAAGGCCAATAACTCTATTGCAGCTCTCGATAGCTGCCTTGTGTGCCTCCTCAACCTCCTCCATACTAACTCAAACTCAAAGAACCAAGATTTATCTGTCAAAACCTCTTAAACCCAAGTTCATCACTTAGTTAAAACAATCACCACAACACAAAATGGCACATACCCAAATAATGAGGTATTGCCAACAAACAAAAGCTCAATACTTGTGCACCATTAAAAAGTTGCTCAAAACACAAGCAACTTGAAGACCAAAGCATCATCGGAGGTACCCGGATTAAAATTAAAACCAGCCATTCTAATTATCGCTAATTCTGGACAGGAACCATGGCTATTCAGGAAAAAAAAAAAAAAACAGGCAACAGCTTCAAAAACAAAAACAAGAAGATCAAACCTTGTCAAATTTGATAAGTGATAGTGTCATTATAGCTTAAAGCCATGTTGATGGTGGTGTGAAAGTGAAGACACTCGAATTCTCTTTCGTTAAAATGACCCAAAAGAAAACAAAGTCTCTCTTTAACTTGAAAACAACTACTGACTGCTACATAAATAAATCAAAAGAAGGAAAAGGAAAAGAATCTAACAAAGAGAGAGGAGAACAGAACTGTTCAGCGGCAGGGCTCAACATGGAAACAGAAAAAATGAAACTCGTGTCCCCGTCAAAGATCCTAAGCGGGTTCCACTCCAAAAAAAAACATAGTCATTCATTTTTACTAGCTTTTAACTTAGTTTCCGAATTTCCAAGAGAATAACAAGTTAGTCCTTTTTCTTAAAGAAATTCCATTTTTAATTCCAACATTTGTAAGAAAAATTGCAATCCAGGCCCTCCGTTAGTCTTCTTTTTCTAATATTCTATGCTTTTTATTCAGATTTTAATTGATAAACTGATACATCATTAATGATTTGAAGGTTAAGGGATTGGTTTGTGATTTTATAAATTGAGAACACTTTTTTAACAATCGTTAAACATATAGGGACTAAGATATAATTTCGTCTCTCTTTTGTTTTCTTCTTTCAACTTTATTTTATTTCTTTAATAAGAAATTTAACGCCTTTTCTACCTTGAAATTATTGTTATTATTATTTTTTGGTTCTGCAATTCATAGGAATAACCTTTTCTTTTTGTCAAAATGTCTGCCAAAGGTGGGCCCAGAAGTCCACTGTGGACAGTGCATACATGCATCCCAAGATAGCCGTTGGAGGATAGACGTCCGAGATTGTGCCACGTGGATGTACAGGTGACACTTGTCCCAAGAATTTTGATGGATGCAGCCCTTTCGCTGTCTGTAAACCGGTGAGGTTAAGAGAAAAAGAGGTTTCGGAGTTTGTGGTGGGGCCCCTGTCAGGACAAAGTTGACCTCAACAGAGATTCTCTCTGCTCAGCTGGGCCTGAAACCATGGATGATTGGTGCAAGGAAATGAACCTCTCCATACCCTCCACGATGGATAATG